GAAAGATGGCAACTGTTGGCAAGGATGTGGAGAAATGGGAACCCTAGTACAGTATTGGTAGGAAAATTAATTTGCATGGTCTTTATAGAAAACAGGGTGGCATATCCACAAAAAATTAAAAATAGAATTACTGTACAGATCCATCAATCCCACATTTGGGTGTTTATTCAAAAGAATTGAAATCAGTGTGTTAAAGAGATGTATGTTCATTACAGCATTATTCATAAGATGTGGAAATAACCTAAATGTTGATAAATGGATAAAGAAAATGTGATATATATATATATATATATGTACTTGGCCTTAAAAAGAAGGATATTCTGTTATATTCTACAACATGAATGAACCTTGAGGACAATATGCTGAGTGTAATAAGCCACTCACAGAAGGACAAACACTGCACACTTCCATTTATATGAAGTATCTAAAGTAGTCAGACTCATAAAGGCAGAGATGGAAGGATGGTTGCCAGAGGCTGAAGGAAGAGGGAAACGGGGAGCTGCTAAACAATGGGTATAAAGTTTTATTTGTGCAAGATGAATCAGTTCTAGAGATCTGTGATACAACATTGTGCCTATTATTGATAATAATATGTTGGGCTTTTAAATTTCTGTTAGGAGAGTAGATCTCATGTCAAGTATTCTTATTGCACTAAACTAGAAAATAGCCAAAGTCATTCCAACAAAAAAATCATCTTGAAAACAACTGAAAACTATTTCATTGCTGTTTTTGTTGGATAACTATGAGTTTTATTCATTCATCTTTATTTCTTACAGAACTCAATAATATGTTCCATTCCCCAACATTTCAACACATTGGTCAAGAAAGAAAAAAGGAAGTTCTACACAGCAAGTATTGGCGATATTCTCTGTGGCCATGATGAACAAAAGAAAGAATTTAGTATTACAGGGAGGGAATATTTAATGGGATTATGGGATCCTAGAATGGGAAGAGACTTGGGATTATGTAGTCCTTGTTGGTGCTGCCGACACCTCAGTGCATGCCATGGCAGAGACTCCCAGGCTTGCACTTGGCTATCACGGTCATGTTATAGGCCATGTTTCTAGGCCACAGAGTCCCTCTGCATGCTAGTTAGATGTTGTCTGTGTGTATCTACCTCTTCAGTAGAATTTTAAATTTAGCACGCCACACCCCATGCATGATTGAATATGGATCCAATATTGTGTGACCACTTTGGCCATGATGCTTAATATAGGTAACAATTTGCTCTGAGGCTGTGTGAAAGAAAAAAGTCTCAATCCTATCTAATAAAAAGAAAGTCTTAACTCTGCCTAACAATGGTTGAAGACCTAAAAAACCTATCAGGAACCATGTAATGTCATATAACATCTAGATGTCTAGAAAGATATGGAGAAAGGCTACAATATTTGAAGAGAACAAAAATGACCATAGAGATAATTTCCCATCAGCATAACTTGGGACCCTGAGTTTTCCCAGAACGTACTTATAAAGAAAACAAACCGGCTCGGTGCCTGTGGCTCAAGCGGCTAAGGTGCCAGCCACATATGCCTGAGCTGGCAGGTTCGAATCCAGCCTGGGCCTGACAAACAACAATGACAGCTGCAACCAAAAAACAGCCAGGCGTTGTGGCAGGCGCCTGTGGTCCCAGCTACTTGGGAGGCTGAGGCAGGAGAATTGCTTGAGCCCAGGAGTTGGAGGTTGTTGCTGTGAGCTGTGACGCCACAGCACTCGATCCAGGGTGATAGCTTGAGGCTCTATCTCAAAAAAAAAAGTTGCATACACCGCATTAAATATATGAAAGTTCAAGGACTGAAAATAAAAGATTCTTTAAAAAAAGAAAAAGAAAACAAACCAGTAAATTTGATTGAACAAACAGCTCATTTTTAATATTAGCTTTCACATACTAAGCTACTTATGGGAATGACCAAAGCAGCTCATGGAAACAACTTATTCTCAGTCCTCACACATAGACCTACTATAGACCAGAAACTTTTTCTTCTGTCTGATCCAAATTACTTTTCTATTGCTCTCACCCGTTTTTCACACTTTCACTCCTAGGGAGTTGCTACCTGACTTCTCTATGTCCTCCAATTCTATCTTTGTAGTTTTCCTTCATAGGTTACAGTTTTCATCCTTTAATTACCCTTTTTTTGCTTTTTTTTTTCTATAGAGACAAGGTCTCGCTCTATCACCCAGATTGAAATATGGTGGTGTGATCATACCTCACTGCAGCCTCCAGCTCCTGGGCTCAAGTGATCCTCTTGTCTCAACCTGCTCAGTAGCTGGGACTACAGGCATGCACCACCATGCCCAGATAATTTTTCTAATTTTTTGTGGAGATGAAGTGTTGCTATATTTCCCAGGCTGGTCTCCAACCCCTGGCCTCAAGTGATCCTCCTGCCTCAGCCTCCCAAAGTGCTCGGATTACAGACGTGAACCATCACACCTGCCCTAATTATCCTTAATTTTTTTTTTTAAGCAGTTCCCCCTGGCTGAGTACAGATTTACCAGGCTGGTAAAAATTACAAAGTAGGCTTGGCACCTGGAGCTCAGCAGAGAGGGCACTGGCCACATGCACCGGGGCTGGTGGGTTCAAACTCAGCCCAGGCCTGCCAAAGAACAATGACAACTACAATAAAAAAAATAGCCAGGTGTTTGTGGCAGGCACCTATAGTCCCAGCTACTTGGGGGGCTAAGGCAAGAGAATCACTTAAACCCAGGAGCTTGAGGTTGCTGTGAGCTATGATGCCACAGCACTCCACTGAAGGTGACATAGTGAGACTCTGTTTTAAAAAAAAATTACAAAGTATTTCTCCACATAGGATTTGGGAATGAAGGGGTGGGAATGAAGTTCATTTAATAGTACAATATGTGGATTATTATGTAAAATCAGATGCTATGTCAAGATGTTATGTAAAATCAGTCGTTGTTGTATTAGCCCTCACTCATCCCAGCTCTTGCTATGGGAGTCTCCTGAGGAGGGAGCATCATGAAGGCATGTTGGGAACATCATCATTGTCCATGTGTTTATGGCGGGGGACAAAGGGGCTGGTTGGAGAAGAATGTCCCCTTGCTGATGCTAATAAAGCAGCACTGAGCTGGAGTGACATGAGGTACCAGACCCCCAAGGTGGGAAAAACAGAGGTCTCCAAGGTGAATGCTTGAGTTTGGGCACAGAAAGCCAGACTCGAAGATGGCCTGGTGTGTTTGAGGCCAAGCAAGGTGGAGTTAAGCCATTTGTTTTTCTCCTTTTTTATTCCTCTCGGTTTTTAAAATACACTTTCTAAAATTCATAATCTGAGCAGTCCCTGGGTGGGGGAAGGAGACATGGTGGCCAGTGTTCATGACATTTGGGTGTTCTTCTCCCCCATACTCTCTATGGCTTAGAAGTGAACATAAAAATATCAAGTTCTAACACCATTAGGCTAATGACTCTTCATTTTGAGTATTTTAAAACTAAAAATATAGCCATTTCCTTCTGTTAAAATTCTCTATTATGGTCTTGCTATTTTATTTTATTTTATTGAGACAGAGCCTCTAGCTGTTGTCCTGCGTAGAGTGCTGTGAAATCACAACTCACAGCAACCTTCAACTTCTGGGCTCAAGTGATTCTCCTGCCTCTGCCCCCCAAAGTAGCTGGGACTACAGGCGCCCACCACAATGCCCAGCTATTTTTTGTTACAGCCGTCGTTGTTTGGCAGGCCCAGGCTGGATTCGAACCCACCAACTCAGGTGTATGTGGCCGGCACCTTAGCCGCTTGAGCCACAGGTGCCGAGCCTGGTCTTGCTATTTGTGGATTTCTAAGTCATTTGTTTAGCCCTGCAAACTTGCCGGTGAGCAGTTATAATCACAGTTCTTGCTACCAGGGTGTTAAAATAATCCAGGTATTTAAGGCATGGAATAGAATAACTTAATGTTTCAGTGATTCAGAGGGATGGTAAGGTCATGGCCCGTAACACAGTTACCTGGCTCAGGAGTGTGTACATTCAGGTCAAGTTAGAGAGCTCAGCTAAAATCCAGAAGTTCACTGACACCAGAGTTAGCGTTCCATTAAGGAAATGCTTACAAGAAACTGCATCAGAATAAAACAAAGATTAAGGGACAGGAAGAAAGCTTGTAATTGTGTTATTGCAATATTCTGCAAAATCAGACTTTGGCTACTGTGGCCCTTTCTTTGAAGCTGAACGTGCCTCAAGTTTCTTACTGACAGGCATGAGCAATTGCATGAGTACTAAATTTTTTTTTTTTTTTTTTTTTTGAGACAGAGCCTCAAGCTATCCCCCTGGGTAGAGTGCCGTGGCATTACAGCTCACAGCAACCTCCAACTCCTGGGCTCAAGCGAGTCTCCTGCCTCTGCCTCCCAAGTAGCTGGGACCACAGGCGCCCGCCACAACGCCTGGCTGTTTTTTGGTTGCAGCCATCATTGTTGTTTTGGCGGGTCCGGGCTGGGGATTGGAACCCACCACCTTAGGTGTATGTGGCTGGCGCCTTAGCCGGTTGAGCCATAGGCGCCGAGCCGAGTACTAAATTCTTTGCTAATTCCCAGCATGATTCCATCCAAGGTTATGTGACAAGGCAGCATGATAAATTTATACATGTTTGGCTATCTTGTGCACGTGTGTAGTTTTGTTACTTTGATTCGCAAAACTGAAAATTCCTCCAATGTCCACAGAAAAGTATAAGGTACCATTTGGCAGGTCAAGAAAATGCCCTCCCTTATTCTTCGTCCCTACCTCATTCTTTCCCCTACGTTTTAGTTTACTAAGTTGTAGTGATTGGAATCATTCTTGGTGAATAATGCTGGGCCACGCTGAAGATTTGTGGCTGAGAGCTGGACCCTCGTCATCACCACGTACTTGTCAATGAGACAAGGTAACCCATGGTAACTGAGCTCGGAGCAGTAGGGGCAGACAGCCTCCGCTCCCCAGTGCTCTATAAAAGAGACCCGGCAAAGGGACCCTACCAGCTTCTGGCCCTCAGCCTGAGCCAAGGTGTGGAAAGAGAAGCCCACGACCTCCGGAGCAGAGCATACCAGCTGCAAGGCCAGCATGTCACCTAACTTCAAACTTCAGTGTCACTTCATTCTGATCTTCCTGGTGGCGCTCAGAGGGGAGACCCGGTACCTAGAGGTGAGCCATGCCTGCGTGGACCCATCCTAGCTGCGTTGCGTGAGTGCTCAGCCTTGGGCGGCAGGCAGGCTGCCTCTGTTCTCAGCCTTTGGGGGGTTGCTTTTTCTTCCCTCTCCGTCGGGTGCTCTCTTTCCTCCCTGGTTTACCCTAGACCCCTTCCTCCCAGCACCTGAGCATCCCTTCCTCGCTCCCTCCCTGTGGCCGCTGGGGGATAGATGCCCGGGACTGCCCGAGAGGGTGAAGACCTTCTCGTCTTCTCCGGACTCGGGGAGACCTTGACCACTTCTCTTTAATTCGCGTGCTCAACAGCAAGGAGGGTGCCTCGTTCCCGGTTCCTTTTCTTTCCCACCCCTTGAACTTTTCTGGGCTGACCCATTTTTCTTGCTAGCTGAGGGAGGCGGCGGACTACGACCCTTTCCCGCTCTTCAGCGCCCACCTGAAGCGGGAGCTGGCCGGGGAGCAGCCGTACCGCCGCGCGCTGCGTGAGTCGGGGCTGCGGGGCGGGCATGCGAGGCGCCGGGTGTGCGGGGAGGCGGCGGGGAGGCGCCCAGGGCCGGAAGGAGCGAGTGTGGCGTCCCTCGGGGCGCGGGAATCCGGCGCGCAGAGGCGGGAGTCGGGAGTCGGGGAGCCCGCGCTGGGGAGCCCCGGCACCGGGCGAGCGCAGGGGGCGAGCGCAGGGGGCCCGCCCGAGGCCGGCGACGGGGGCTGCGGCCCGGGACACCCGGCCCGGTGCCCTCCCCCAGGGTGCCTGGACATGCTGAGCCTGCAGGGCCAGTTCACCTTCACCGCCGACCGGCCGCAGCTGCACTGCGCCGCCTTCTTCATTGGCGAGCCCGAGGAGTTCATCACCATCCACTACGACCTGGTCTCCATCGACTGTCAGGGCGGGGACTTCCTGAAGGTGAGGCGACCCCGCCTCGCGCAGCCCAGCGGGGCAGGGGAGGAAGGGGCCGGGGCGCTGCGCCCAGCGCGGGGCTGCCGGGCGCGGGGAGTGGGTGGCGATTCCTCTTGGGACGCTCGGCTGGTGCCGGAGTCCGAGAGGCGCGCCCGGGAACTCCCACGCTCTCCGCAAGCCCTGGACCTCGGCCCACGTCCCGCAGGGCTGGTGCCTCCGGACACTGCAGTGGTTTTAACTCCCTTCTGTGCGCTTTCGAGGCACTGGTAACTTGTAAAGACTTAACTCGCAGCACGAAGTGTTGTATGATGCAATCCCGGGCAGGCGAAATCAGAGAAAAACTAGCTCCAGAGCGCGAGTCTTCGCACCATCGAGTCTAGGTTAGAGGGTCCGCCCCCCGCGCGAGTCTGAGAGCTGAGCCCGCCTCGCTGCTGCTGGTCCCTCTCTTCGCGGAGCTGTTCCCAGCATACAGGGGTTATGTTCAATGCCTGGGCGACCCAATTTTAGAGCAAGAGGGCAGTGACTGCTGCGAAGGATGCTGAAGGGGGATCTAACTTGAGGCAGATGGGAGGTGAGAGCAAGCCCCCCAAATTAGCAGCATCCCCACTTCAATCGGTCTCTCTAACAGGTCAGCTTAGAATGGCTGATGGAGTTCTACTCTGCAATTAAAAATAATCATGATTTAAACCTCCAAAAGTAGAATTATTTTGGAACCTGTCAAACGTGTTGGAAATAATGGGTTGTTGGCAATTTTGCTCAGGGGGACTAGACTGGACTCATTATGATTTGGGAAGTAAAGCCAATAGATTCTGATCCTTTATCCAACTGCAAAGTTTAACAATCGAAGGGAGAAAGTCCCACGTGGCATAACAGCCCGCGTGTTGAAGCAGTTCTTGATATTTTAAAGTAATATCTGATGACTTTTAAAAAAATGGGCGTATGTAACCATTGGCAGGTAAAGTTTCTGCTCTGTTTTTTTTCTTTTGCTACTTATTTTTGAGATATTTTGTTCACATTTCAATGGCCACAGGAAAGAGAGCAGTTGAATGGAACCCAAATTACATTTCTGTAGAATTCAGTGTACATTGCTATAGTTTCACTGACCGATATGGTTGAAATGATGTAATAAATATAAGAAAGTTGATTTACATTGAAAGCTTTCAGGCTTGTAAAGAAAAAAAGCATTAATTAATTAATTAATAATATTGCTCATTAACAACCTTCAAAGTTAAAATATATGCAAATGAAAAACAAGAAGGCCAGAGTGTAGGCTGCCTGTTCCTCACGTGTGACTGAAGGCCCATTGCTGGGTAACTTCCCCTCCTCTCAACACACTCCTGACTTCGGTTGATAGAAATGATAGCATCTATGTCTATATATTTTTTAAAGGTATTTGATGGTTGGATCCTCAAGGGGGAGAAGTTCCCCAGTTCCCAGGATCATCCTCTCCCCACGACTGAGCGGTACATAGATTTCTGCCAGAGTGGCCTTAGCAGAAGGAGTATCAGAGCCTCCCAGAATGTGGCCATGATCTTCTTCCGGATCCATGAACCTGGAAATGGATTCACATTAACTATAAAGACAGATCCCAACCTCTTTCGTAAGTGGGTTCACTGTCTTCTCCGTTAAAAGGCAGAACTTGGGGATCAAACCTACTTTTCAAAGGTAATATAATTGCAGGAACTTTTAAGTAAGTTAAACCGAGGAATGATTTGAATGGAAATGTTGTTTTAATTAGAAATGACCTAATGGGTATTTTTTTATTAAGTATGATAAAAATCAAATCACAGATTGTAATTTATTTCCCAGGCTAGAGAGTATGCTAATTTATGACCAGTATAATTCTGTTTTGTTTTTTTTCCCCCAAAGTCTTATTCTGGTCTCCCAAGGTACTACAATGCATTCAGTGACAAACTTTAACCTCCCAAGTCATTCTACTGATCCCAGATAAGCTTGAGGGATCAGATATGAAGTTACAGTTGTAGAGATATTTAGGCAAAGGCTGAAAGGCTACAAATAGGGATTATGGTAGATAGATGTCATGCCCTGAGTGGAGGGTTGGACCAGAGCACCTCAATGCTGCCTTCAGATTCTCAGCCCACCACTCTAATGCAGTTCCTTTCTGTTAGACATTTACATAGCTTATGCTGTAACATTGAATAGCTTGGGACAGCCTAAAGGACATTATCTTAATCAAAATGAGCTTATTCATCTATTTATTGTTTTTTCCCCTATTAAGGGAAAATAATCTTTAAAAAAAATAGAAGTAAGCATATTACTCATTTTAAATTGCATGCAACAGTAGTAATATTAACTCTTCATGTAGTTGAAGGATAGGGGGTAATCTGCCATAGAATAATGTACTACTGATCTTATGATTTCTATTAAAAAGAAAGAATTTCTGAAAGAAACCCCTATCAAAGAGGCCATTTCTAAGGACTGGAGCAGAATAATTCTAGAGACAAAGTAAAATATTTTTCCTATGTTTTGTTTGGATAGAAATGAGAAACTTTCCAGAATTATCAAGGAATTTCAGTTCTTTTAGAAATTAAATGTCATTTTAAAATCTAATAAGGAAGCAAGAGATGGTTCTAATCAACTAGAAGCATTTGTCTTATAATCAGCAAAAGAGTACAAATTCTGATGCTTTTACTTTCATATCCAGAAGAATAAATATATTGTAAATCTAGATATGAGATACAAAACAAAAAGTTTTATATTAAAAGTAAATTAAATATTAAATTAAATATTACAAATTTACCACTTATAACCCTAGCACTCTGGTAGGCCGAGGAAGGTGGATTGCTTGAGCTCACAAGTTCAAGACCAGCCTGAGCAAAAGTGAGATCCTATCTCTACTAAAAATAGAAAAACTGAGGCAAGAGGATTGCTTGAGCCCAAGAGCTGGAGGTTGCTGTGAGCTATGCCATGGCACTCTACCCAGGACAACAGCTTGAGACTCTGTCTCAAAAGAAAAAAAAAATTACCATTTAGTCAACTTGTCATGTAACACCCAGCAAATATTTGTCAGCCTGATGTCTTTTTTTTTTTCTTAGCCTATTTCATCACTATTAGAAAATACTTAGGCTCGGCGCCTGTGGCTCAAGCGGCTAAGGCGCCAGCCACATACACCTAAGGTGGCAGGTTCGAATCCCCAGCCCGGGCCCACCAAACAACAATGATGGCTGCAACCAAAAAATAGCCAGGCGTTGTGGCGGGCGCCTGTAGTCCCAGCTACTTGGGAGGCTGAGGCAGGAGACTCGCTTGAGCCCAGGAGTTGGAGGTTGCTGTGAGCGTGATGCCATAGCACTCTACCCAGGGGGATAGCTTGAGGCTCTGTCTCAAAAAAAAAAAAAAGAAAATACTTAAAATAGACTTGGCACCTGTAGCTCAGTGGCTAGGGTGCCAGTCACATACACTGGAGCTGGACAGGTTTGAACCCAGTCCAGGCCTGCCAAACAACAATGGCAACTGCAACCAAAAAATAGCCAGGCGTTGTGGTGGGCGCCTGTAGTCCCAGCTACTTGGGAGGCTGAGGTAAAAGAATTGCTTAAGCCAGTGGTTCTCAACCTTCCTAATGCTGTGACCGTTTAATACAGTTCCTGTGGGTCATGACCCATAGGTTGAGAACCACTGGCTTAAGCCAAGGGTTTGAGATTGTGTTGAGCTGTGATGCTACGGCTCTCTATCAAGGATGACATAGTGAGACTCTGACTCAAAAAAAAAAAAAAAAACAAAGAAAATACTTAAAATAAAATTATTTATTTACCTTATTATTTAAAAAATAATATGGCTCCAAATTCTATGAATGAAGGCTTCAGACAGACAAGACTTAAGGGTAGGCCTCACCTATAAGCATCAATTCTTTCCGACTCTTAACTTCCACCTGGACCTTGGTTAACTGAAGTGTTCCTAGAACTACTACCAGTTAGTATTTTTTTGTTCAGTTATTGATCTATGTCTAGTGATTGTTATAAACAAGGCACCCCCTGAGATCAAGATCAGAAGACCCTTGCGGCCCAGGGCCTCCTGACATTGTTTCAAAATTGCCTTTGTGATACATATGCTCTCTTCCCAGGCAGAAGGCCCTAGACATGAACAGGAGGGTAGAATAAAGCTACAATAAATTTCTATAAAAATCCAGCAGCCCAAGTAATGTGAATGTGACTTTTTTTCCTGCAAAGCCTGCAATGCCATCTCTCAAACCCCAAATGGGAGGTTCACCTTGGTGGTTCCACATCAGCATCGCAACTGCAGCTTCTCCATCATCTATCCTGCAGTGATCAAAATATCTGATCTCACCCTGGGACACTTAAACGGCCTTCAGCTGAAGGTGAGTTGCTTTCTTGCTGCCCCATCATTCCGCAAGGCCCCCGCTTTGGCAGAGCAGAAGCAGTCAGTCACGCAGCCGAACCCAGACATGAGCAAATTGGAGCAGTAGGTCCCTCTGACTCCGACTCCTCACGTGCTCGCCCTAGCTGCTGGCACGAAGTCCTTTTTCTATTTTAGTATGCTGCCTGTCACAGGCTCAGGTGCCTGTTCTAGCAACTTGAACACTCTTCTCATGATGTAGGAAATGTTTTCAACTGGTTAAGTTGTGGTCTATAATTACAATTGAACTCTCTTGTACTTGCCTCTTTTACAAAAATTCTTTCCCAGCAGAACCTAGTATGAGTCATCTACACAGCTGTTTTTCTGATTATTGAAATTTTCTTTTGACATGAAGGAAGTATCTCATTGACAGAACTGTGTTACGAAGGAATGCTAAGTCTAGCATAAAATACAAAATTGGATTTTTATATCACCATATACAGTAAAGCATTGAAGAGTGTTTTGCATGGCAGTACATTTTGCCCCTACTAGCTTGGAACCCTATCAACCTGTCTTCAAATGAGCTTCTGTATGGACCTTAGAATTAATGTTGATCGTGACCATATCTCCCTGTAGGGAACTTCTTCCTTCTGAGTCATCCTCATTTCCTTGGCTCATATGCCTAGGTTAAGATAACTCATGTATTTGTTGCTATCAAAGGCAGTCATAGTTCCTAATCAGACAGATTGTAGTGAAAACCAAATAAATAGAACCAGGACTGAGAAAAGGAGTATATCCAACTTCATAAACCCCTTAATTCATGGACCAATACCTATCTTTTTTAAGGGGACCTTAGTGGAAGAATAACATCTTGATAAGGACACCTTTGGTTATCTTTGGAACAATCTTCTTGGCTTAATATTGCTTGCATGTCATTCTTGCTATAAAATATAGAAGATGGGAGGTGTGATCACAGACTGGGAGACCTGCACTTTATTTATATATTATTTTTTTGAGACAGAGTCTCACTCTGCTGCCCTGGGTGGAGTGCTATGGTGTTATACCTCACAGCAACCCCAAACTCTTCAGCTTGAGCAATCCTCTTGCCTCAGCCTCCCAAGTAGCTGGGACTATAGGCATGTGCTATCATGTCTGGCTGGTTTTTCTATTTTTAGCAGAGACAGAGTCTTGCTCTTGCTCAGGGCTAGTCTTGAACTCTTGAGCTCGAGAAATCCACCTGCCTCGGCCTCCCGGAGTGCTAGGATTACAGGTGTGAGCCACAGAGCCTGGACTGCACTTTAGTTATTAGGGCTATGATATATATCCTATATATTCTTGATATATCCCTCTGAACAATTTAGAGCCTCCAGTGTGTGGGTATCTATTCCTTTAGAAAGTATTTTCAGGGTGTTTACCATGGGCAAGGCACTATTCTAGATGCTGGAAATTAGCAATGACCGAGACAAGTCTTGTTCACAGGGAAAGCATGTTCTAGTGGGATAAGACAGGCAAAGTTGCCATGCATTTCAAATAATGGTAAGCGCTGTACAGAAAAGGGCATCAGAGTGGCATGAAGGACAGTGCCTGGGAGCAAGAGGGTGGAGGAAGGAGCAGGAGGCTGCTTGAAATATGATGGCCAGGAAAAAAATATTTGAGAAGCGAGACCTGAGCGATAGATCAGAAGGAGCCAACAGCCATGGGAAGAACAGAGAGCAGAGGGAATAGCAGTGCAGAGGCTCAGAGGTAGGAATGGGCTTCCTGGGCTCCAAGAACCGAAAGAAGGCAAGATGGGGAGGAGTGGCGTGAGACAACATGGGGGAGATGGGCAGGACCAGAGTGTGGAGAGCCCCGCAGATCATTTTAAGGAGTTAGAGTTTATTGTTCTAAGCATGAGAGGAAACTACTGGAGGGGTTCAGGCAGAAAAGTGACATGCTCTGATTTACACTGGCTAGTATGTCAGTAGGGGCCATACTACCCTTTTCATGCCCCAGTGAGATGTTTCATTAATTATTATTAATGTGCCTATCAAGATTATTTTTTTAAGGATGGGCATGGTGGCTCACACCTATAATCCCAGCACTATGGGTGGCCAATGTAGGAGGATTGCCTGAGCTCAAGAGTTTGAGAGCAGCCTGAGCAAGAGCAAGACCCCATCTCTAAAAATAGCCGGGTGTTGTGGTAGGTGCCTATAGTCCCAGATACTTGGGAGGCTGAGGCAAGAGAATCACTTGAGCCCCAGAATTTGAGGTTGCTGTGAGCTGTGCCACCACAACACTCTACCCTGGGTGATGAAGTGAGACTCTGTCTCCAAAAAAAAAGATTATTTTCTTCGATAAAACATTCCAGATTTTTTATATATTGGAAGGTGAGTAACACCAAAAAGGAAAGAATCGAATTGCACACATCAAATAGATGTTTGGATCTTACATTGGTACAAGGAATCTAGGTACTCCTTTGGTCCACTGTTGTAGACAGTGGCAGGAGATAATGGTGGCTTAGGACATCAACAAAGAAATCGAGGGGACCACAGTTGAGGGATTTCAGAAAGGGTCCCTACATGATCAGTTTCTGACCCTGTTGGTAAAAGAAGCAGAGAGGTTTGCAAAGAGGAGAGGAGAGTTTGCAGGGGAAAGGCGCACCCAACTGCCTTGCTTCATTGTTTTGTTCTCCTCTTTGAGTTTCTACTTCTTCCCACCTTCTCTGTTTCCCATTTCTCCCTCCTGAGTCTGCCTTTTGCCCTTCAAGACCATCTACTAAAATTTGGAACCCACAGAACCAAATGAATAGTTAGTCTTTTTTTTTTTAATTTGAGACAGTCTCACTGTGTCACCCTCAGTAGAGTACTGTACTATCATAGTTCACAGCAACCTCAAACTCTTGGGCTCAAGCAATTCTCTTGCCTCAGCCTCTCAAGTAGCTGGGACTACAGGTGCCCACCACAATGCCTGGCTATTTTTTTTGTTGCGGTTGTCACTGTTGGTTAGCTGGCCCGGCTGGGTTCAAACCCGCCAACTTTGGTGCATATGGCTGGCGCCGTAAGCACTGTGCTACGGGTGATGAGCTGAATGTTTAGTCTTTTTTTTTTTTCTTTGTAGAGATAGAGTCTCACTTTGTCACCCTTGGTAGAGTGCTGTGGCGTCACACAGTTCACAACAACCTCCGACTCCTGGGCTTAGGAGATTCTCTTGCTTTAGCCTCCCAAGCAGCTGGGACCACAAACACCCGCCACAATGCCTGGTCATTTTTTTGTACCACCACGCTCAGTATATGGGGCTGGTGCCCTACTCACTGAGCCACAGGCGCCGCCCCAATGTTTAGTCTTAAGAGAAGTTTCCCCCTGGGCATCTTCTACTCCAGGAAAGGCAATTAAGAGTTTTTTCCTCTACCCCTAAATGGCTAATGCAATGCTTAATACAAGAACATGAAGCCCTCTACACAGTGGGGCTAATTAAACCTGTGTTTCATTAGATGATGAAATTATGTGTAAAGCATGTAAGCATGGAACCCAGCACACAGTAGGTAAGCCTTTTAAAAATACATATCCCCACCGGCTTCCCTTCATTAGCCAAACAATTGCCATTATAATTATAGTTTATTGTATTTCAATGTCCTTCTAAATGTCGCAGTGTGTGTGCTTATGTAGGTGTGTGTTTTAAGTTTTCTATTTTAGATCTTGGTTCCCATCATAGTCAGGGATTCCAGCATAGTCAGGTCTCTATCTGGTTTACTACTGAGCGCCTTGGCACATTCTACTAGTTCTCTTAATGAGCATGCCCCATAGAGACGAGGATTATGGGCAAAACGGACTACATAAATTGTGAGGACAATGAAAGATGAAAATGTCGGCTCGGCGCCTATAGCTCAACCGGCTAAGGCGCCAGCCACG